AGGAGGACACAGGCACAAGCGCATGCAACACAAATGCACACACGTGCACATTCCCTAAACAGGCAGCATGGCACAGCGGCCAAGCTGCGGTGTATGCATGCTGCGTCGAGTCGCCGAGCGGCGGCCCGCTTCCCGGAACACACTGGCCCGGCGGCGTGGCTGCGGATTGTAAGCAGGGGACCCGTGGGTTATGCTAGTGGGAGATCTCCCCCCTGACCTCAGCGGGGCGTTCCTGTACGGGTTTGGCCGAGGTTCGCCCTTGTCCCGTGGGGCTAATGCAAATACGACCCGAGAGCCCCCTCCTCCCTAGCCCCGCGGGCTGGGAGCCTCTGCTATTGGCCTAATCCATAGATACTTAGCCTTGCGGGTGGACGCATGGAGGGGCACGTAAGCGTTGCCTTGCGTAGCCGTGGCTTGCGGTGGTAAGCGATCCTCCGGCGGGAGGTGGACATCCGGCGGGATGTTATGCAAGCAGGGCTGGCGACCCTGGACAGACACACAGAACAATAGACAGCGGGCGGCGAAGCCTTGGCTCGGCGGAGCCGAAGCTTGCAGCGGTAGTGTCTGTAAGCGAATCTCCAGCGGGAGGTGGACATCTGGCGGGATGTTATGCGAGCGGGGCTAGCGACCCTGGATAGACACACAGAACAATAGACAGCGGGCGGCGAAGCCTTGGCTGGGCGGAGCCGTAGCTTGCAGCGGTAGTGTCTGTAAGCGATCCTCCGGCAGGAGGTGGACATCCGGCGGGATGTTATGCGAGCGGGGCTGGCGACCCTGGACAGACACACAGAACAATAGACAGCGGGCGGCGAAGCATTGGCTCGGCGGAGCCGTAGCTTGCAGCGGTAGTGTCTGCAAGCGATTCTCCAGCGGGAGGTGGACCTCCGGCGGGATGTTATGCGAGCGGGGCTAGCGACCCTGGATAGACACACAGAACAACAGACAGCGGGCGGCGAAGCCTTGGCTGGGCGGAGCCGTAGCTTGCAGCGGTAGTGTCTGTAAGCGATTCTCCGGCGGGAGGTGGACATCTGGCGGGAGGTGGACATCTGGCGGGATGTTATGCGAGCGGGGCTAGCGACCCTGGATAGACACACAGAACAATAGACAGCGGGCGGCGAAGCGTTGGCTCGCGGAGCCGTTGCTTGCGGCGGTGGTGTCTGCAGGCGATCCTCCGGCGGGAGGTGGACATCCGGCGGGATGTTATGCATGCGGCTTGCGATCCTGGATATACACGCAGAGCACAAGACAGCGAGCAGGTCAGGCTCGCAGAGCCGTGCCCCTAGTATACGTGCAAACATACAACCTGCTAGGTAGGCTTAACGCCCTCTACAATTTGCCTCGGTAGCACGGCAATGCGGTGCCTGGCCCTTATTTGTTTGCGCCATACGGGCCACGCATGTCGCGTACATATGGAGCGCCCCCGAGTACAGCGGTCGCCGGTCCGGGGCCTGCGGGGTGTCGGCCACCATTCCTCCCAAAAAAGAAAAAAAGGGGGTTCTAAGGGGCTGGATAAGCCCGACGCCGGCGATGTGACGGACGAGCCGGCAGAAGTTGTGGCGAGCGGCAAGTTGCATGGTGCTGCGTATCAGGACCATGACCCCGGCGTGTCGGCATAATGCCGGACTCCCAGGCGGTGCACCCTGCTGAATTATCGCAGTGCAAGAGGTCCAGTCTTGCGCACATGGTCTGCTATCGTGTCAATCGTGATTAGAGAGAAACGGTAGGCCTGCTTGTCAATGAACGAATTGACGCTGTTCCCCTCGAGGGCGGACAGGTGCATGATGAGCCGGTGGCCGCCCGACTTCTTGGCGACCACACCTACGCAGGGGTGCGCAGATGGACGAGTGGCGGCGCGTTGAAGGGGCCAGCGGTGTGGCCGCGACTGCATTCCGTGGCCAGGTACTGGTTGACGACCTCGGGGTGTGCTGCCGCTGAAGACAAGTTCGGGCTGCGTACGGACACGTCACGGGGTCCAGTGAACCCGATACGACAGCCGGCACGTAAATTGCTAATAAGGGAAAGAACGAATGCAGGATTAGGGTGCGCCAGCAATTCAGTGTGTAATGCATCAATATTGATAGGGGTGCTGGGGTGTAATGCAGCATTGTTCATAGGGGTGTTAGGGGGCGGGTGAATGCAAGAAAGTGGTGCCGGGGCTGATTGCTGTTCACTCTTATTTCTTGGCTGGACAGGCTGACACAGCGTGCGAGCCTTAGCAGAAGAGGCAGGCGTGTCAAAAGCGACATGGGCTGCTGCAGGCGCCGTGATTGTAGCGGCGGCAGATTTCGGTTGATTTAGTGCTTGCACTCTCATTCGCCTGCTTGCCACGAAAGGCCGAGGTGCACGCTCCGGCCAAGTGCCCCACCTTCTTGCAAATGTTGCAATTGGGGAGGGCCTGTCCCGTGAAACACGTCGCGAAAAGCTCCGTGTCGACCTCTGCCAGGGATCGGCTTGGGTCCTTTGACAGGGCCTGGCGTGCCCGCGTGTCATGGTCCACGACTGCCGAGAAGCGGTACTTCCCGGCTGCCTGTACCATACGTATTTGATGCTGCATCAGTGCAGCGGCGCAGCGAGGGTGATCGCGGATGGCGATCAGGCTAAAAATAGACCATGCCTCGGTCCATGTGGCAAGGTTCACAATTCTTCCTTTCGGTGCGCTTGTCACAGAAAGTGCCCCTTCCTCGTCTATACGGAACCTCTTAGGGGCTGGCTCCCCGGCAGAAATAGGTTTGGGCGGGAGCAGTATTGCCAGATCTATGTACTCGATTCGTCTTATCCGATCGACTGTCTCCAACGAGACGTGCAAAATACAGGAGGGGTAACCCATGTGCGTACAGTGCATGAATTCATCAGCACACATACCGTCTTCTTGCTCCGTGGCGTTCTCCGGTGCGTTGCCGCTGAGGGCTGCTGCCACGCTGGCTGCCACTATCTGCTGGATAGACTCCCTTTGTGCCTGCGAGAAAGCCATGGAGGGTGCTAGACTATCTCTGAGAGCGGAAGCTTAGAAGAGACAATTTCAAACAATTTCTGCGGCGGGCAGGCACAACAAACAACTGGTGAATGTCTTTACTTGTTCCTGCCTTGCGAGGGTGGCCTTGGGTGAGCTTGCACCCAAGGCGGATAGGTGGCTTACGGCATGCCATACGCGCATCGCGGTTGCGAATGCTTGCGTGGGGCCCCGCGTGGGAGCCTGGCAGTGCGTACGACTTTAGCGGAGCTCGTATGAGACTTAGCCGGCTTTGGCGTGTCTGCGGACGGCATCTCCATGCGGGAGATGCGGCTCTGTGACATATAGGTTAACTACGGTTTGCGCAACGCAAACCAACATTTTTACTTTTTATAAATCCTCCTTGGCTCTCCATCCGAGTATGTTAAAGGTGTGCTCTGCATGTAACCATGACTACTACGTGTATTGGTCACATAACTCCATCCAGTTTGACCATGCATGCTGGTCTGGAGATTGTCCTCAGCACTGAGACCAGCCGCTCAGGTAATGCCATGTCTTCCCTATTCGTGTCTACCCTACCAAGAGGCAAGACAAAACAATCACGTGATAGCCATGCAACTAGACTACATGATAGTAAACAGTCATATAAAGTGGAACCTGTCTAAGACGACCGCTTATGGGACCCGGTCAAAACGTGGTCTCTGTTAGTTACCAGGTGGTCTCCTTATACAGGGTCATTTGACTGGAAACAGCATCCCTTGGTCCGGACCCGGTTTCAGTGGTCTTCTAGGACAGGTGGTCGCCTTATCCGAGTGGTCGCCTTGACAGGTTTGACTGTACCTGCCAACCTTTGCAAACCAGAGAAGATAGGGATAATGACATAGGGATAATGACATACGGTCTACTTAGAGAAGATAGGGATAATGACATACGGTAGAGAAGATAGGGATAATGACATACGATAGAGAAGATAGGGATAATGACATACGGTAGAGAAGATAGGGATAATGACATACGGTAGAGAAGATAGGGATAATGACATACGGTAGAGAAGATAGGGATAAGGGTAACATGATAATGACATACGGTAGAGAAGATAGGAATAATGACATACGGTAGAGAAGATAGGAATAATGACATACCGTAGAGAAGATAGGGATAATGACATACGGTCGGTATTAAAATGAGCTTCGAAGTACTATACAAATGTAACTGTGATGCGTGCTACAATATTTTATGCACTTTTGGGTGCCTGTCTGCCCTTTCACCACCCTCGATATCGGGGCGGCGGTCTTGGTGAAGTCGGGCTGGTTGGTATGTATGAGTACAGTGGCAACATCAGTGCTCTTTCCGGAATCAGCCAGACTGACATCAGTCACTCGTTCCGGAATCAGCCAAGCTGACATCAGTGCTCGTCCCGGAATCAGCCATACTGACATCAGTGCTCGTCCCGGAATCAGCCAGACTGACATCAGTGCTCGTTCTGGAATCAGCCAGACTGACCTCAATAAGTTAGTTAGCATGTTAGCGGTGCACAGGCAGCGACAGTGATGGCCAGTTTACACACAATCCCATGCAGACAATCATCATTCTTCGGACCTTGCTCAGATAACATAGCACCGTGCATATTATATTAAAATCATACAAAAGCAACAGAAGGAGCAGCAGCAGCAGCAGCGACGGCAGTGATAACGATAGCGACAATTTTCTACATTACGACATGTACGTTCCCAAAATGTGCTCAATGCAGCGGGTCATGCTCCGCTGTGGCATGTGCACTAAAATGGTCATGTTCACAACACACACCCTTGCACTGTCCCTACACTTATGTGGTTTGTGGTACCTGATGGCCTGGAGCCAATAGAATAAGCCAGGGGCATCGGACACGGTACGGTTACTACGGTATTGACCGTACCACTCGTTGCCCTAGATACCCCGTGAATCAATAAAATGCATTTATCTCGGCTCTAAATTTTCAAAATTTTTGTCTCAGCCAAACCTCCCCCATGAGTACTAACTTGCACTTCAGATGGCTGACCGTACCGCACTAGAATGCCTTCCGACACCCCTGTCAGCTAATACATTTCCAAATGCTGTTGAGCTCACGCCATGGTATACAGAGAACCGGGCCTCTTACGAGAGGTTTAACATTACAATGAAGCAGGCGTTCAGAAGAGCAGGGAATACAAGGAGGTCAAACATCCATTGCAGCTTGCATCGGTACCTTATCGAGAGCGGGTGGGGTGTGGAGGGGGGGGGGGGAGGGGTAGGAAGGGGGAGGGAAGGGTGTGTGGAAGGGGGTGGGGGGAAGGGGTAGGAAGGGGGTGGGGAAGGGGGTGGGGAAGGGGGGGGAAGGGGTAGGAAGGGGGTGGGGAAGGGGAAGGAAGGGGGTGGGGAAGGGGAAGGAAGGGGGTGGGGAAGGGGAAGGATCGCAGCGGGGAGCATACCTGCGGGTAGTAGGTGCTAGTCTATTGAAACCTCAAGTGAAAATCCTCATACATGTCAACTTCGCTAATAACTACTGCCGGTATAATGACTATTCGCGAATAACGACAGAATTTCCATGCCCAGAGCAAAGTCCATTCTATCTGTAAACATACAATGAGGCTTTAGGTATAACAACACTTTGCGAATAAGGACACTTTGCTGATGCCCGGCCGAGTGTCGTTATACGCAATGTTGACTGCACATGTCATTATAATGTGTGTAGCATGAGTGTGGTTTGGTCAAGTGAATCAAGATGGTGCTTTACTGCACTTATTTAGGTGTACAAAGACACGAGCAAACACTCTCCGTTCACTGTTCACAGCTAGAAACACTAGCCTGGGATGGGACGCGGCAGATTGCACCGGCTGACCAAGCATCCAGGCAGCATTGAACGGCGAGTTCGGAAACTCTAGGCAGCACCGACTGACGACTCCAGCAGCCGGCTGTGCTCGTCAGGCGGTGGTGGGGTCATGTGACCGTGCTCCAGAACGGCCTCGTGGTTCTGGATCTGACGGCGTCGCCGCTCGCTGACGCCGTCCAGTCGGTCGCCGTCCGACCCCAACATGCGGATGAGGTCGCTGGTGTCGTCTACCACATCGTCATGGTTATCGCCTTGCCTGGCCATCTGCTGCCGCGGACGAAGCTTGTAGTATAAGAGTACTACGATCTTCCAGAGAAGAAGACAGTAGAAGAGCAGCGTGGGCCAGGTCATCAGGACGCGGAGCACGTACTTGCGTTCAGGACTGTCCAACACGCTGTCCTCGGTGGTGGTGACGCAGGTGGTGAACGTGATCAGCAGCATGTTGGTAAGCACGGCCGCCTCCAGGTAGTTACACCAGTGTCTGCGGCGGAGCGGCGGCGGCATGCTGACGAACGCCGTCGTGTCCGCGTCCTCGCCGTCCGCGGCCGTATACGGCTGCACCCATATATGGAAGAGCAGGCAGGCGAGCAGCACGACGCCGATGAGGCAGTGTTTGACCCACTCGCTGAAGTTGTTCATGTAGATGATGATGATGATGAAACGCCGTATCAAATCCACTGTCCACCACTGTCGTGCAAAGTTGTCACGTTTCACTCCAACCTGGAGAAGATAAGGTGAACGGGTGAGGAAAGTGAGAAGAAAATGGATTTGAATACTGGTTGGCAAAGTAGTTCAGTGACATGATGGGGTTGTATTAGTCTGTGTGTGCGTGGAGGGGCGGAGGGTGTGTGTGTGTGTGTGTGTGTGCGTTTGTACGTCGGCAGAATGGACGACTCGCGCGCACCGAAGCAATTGCTGTTCGGCGAGCTGCCTGCCCCCCGTCCTCGTCACGGCCCGAAGAAGAGGTGGCGAGATGTGGTGTCGACTGACCTGGCGGACCTCGGCGTGACCACCTGGCTTGAGAGTTGCCAAGGTCGTCCCGGCTGGAGACGAGTTGCGAGTAGCACTCCACCGCCACGGCCCGCTCCTGATCCTCTTCTATGTGTCTATGGACGCCCGTTTCGTCGACCAGGAGACCTGACACGACATGCCAAGTTCTGCGCTCGTGTTCTCACTTGAACTTTCCGACATTCGCTATCATTGCGTACGCAATGGGCAAGATCAAGGTCGAGGTCAAGGTGTGTGTGTGCGTGTGTGCGTGCATGTGTGTGTGTGTGTGTATGCGTGCACGCGTGTGTGTTTGTGTGTGTGTGTGTGTGTGTGTGCGTGTGTGTGTGTGTGTGTGTGTGTGTGTGTGTGTGTATGCGTGCACGTGTGTGTGTGTGTAAAAAAAGACCAAAAGTAGGGATTCACTGGCCAGAAAAAGCCACTTCATAGCTGTGTGGTCTAGACCAGGCTGAATAGTGGCGGCCAATTCTTCAGCCTTGCAAGCTGTTGAATGGTGCAATCCCAGCACAAGTTGCTATGGCTTCTGCTGTAGCATCGCTATCATCACCTCCGGCGATGGGCGTCCAATGGTCCAATGGTGTGTGTGTGTGTGTGTGTGTGTGTGTGTGTGTGTGTGTGTGTGCGCGTTGCAAGCCTTGCAGCCTTGCAAGCTGTTGAATGGTGCAATCCCAGCACAAGTTGCTATGGCTTCTGCCGTAGCATTGCTATCATCGCCTCCGGAGATGGGCGTCAAAGGTCAAGGTCAAGGTGTGTGTGTGTGTGTGTGTGTGTGTGTGTGTGTGTGTGTGTGTGTGTGTGTGTGTGCGTGCGTATGTGTGTGTGTGTGTGTGTGTGTGTGTGTGTGTGTGTGTGAGTGCGTATGTGTGTGTGTGTGTGTGTGCGCGCGTGCGCGTGTGTGTGCGTACGTGTGTGTGTGTGTGCGCAGGTTTGTACATAGGGTTTCCAATTGCACACTGGCAATTGGTGGACACTGGCGCTTTCTACCTTTGATGATATTGAGCAGATTGGGTCATCGTTATGATATTGAGCAGATTGGGTCATCGTTACGATATTGAGCAGATTGGGTCATCGTTATTATATTGAGCAGATTGGGTCATCGTTATGATATTGAGCAGATTGGGTCATCGTTATGATATTGAGCAGATTGGGTCATCGTTATGATATTGAGCAGATTGGGTCATCGTTATTATATTGAGCAGATTGGGTCATCGTTGCACAGCAGAAACTACACATGTCTATAATTATAAGGGTTGGTTCACATAAGCCAAAATCGGCGCCGGGAAGCACCGGCGGTGAGCCAGCTCCCAATCCGTCCCTCATACGACTCGAATACCAAATCTACTTTATAATAGTACAGAATTTGCCGAAATGATACGACAGGTTTGCCAATTGAGGCTTGAATTCCTTGTTTCTTCAGTAGTTCAAGGTCTTTCGGTGATAGCTGCTCGGTGCTACCTTTTACTGGAGATCATGAAACTACTTCTCCACCTTTCATTGCAGTCTAGTAAGCAATGGTGTCGAAATTATGCATGCAAGCGTTGATAAAGTAACACGAACTTGCCAGTATATCCTTCGTGTTTTTTTATTTGTTTCAATTGTATTCGTCTCATAAGTTGCACAAAAGTCAAGCAGATCCTCCGACAAGGACGAGTTGGTATGCAGACTTAATCTGCCACCTTGAAGAGACTACAAGAATGGCAAACTGGCTTCATCTTTACTTGACTTTAGCTTCAACTTAGGATGATATAGGATGAGTTTTGGTTTGAAATTTTGACAAAGTCTGCGTTCCGACACCGGCGATCACCGGCGCAAACGGTTCACAAACCACGTTTGATCAAAATTGGGCGGGATCGGTGCAGGTGCAGATCGCAAGAGTTGGGCACTGCCCAACTTTGCCGGGGGTCCCTTGCGATTATTTTCCGTATGACTTTGTTACGACTGCACTGGTTCACATAATCGCAGTGCGTCGGCAGTAGTTGCAAGAGGCCCGCCGCCGGCGACATGTGAACCAACCCTAAGGCAGTGCTGCCAAGGACAAAAATTCATTCGCTATCTGAAGCAATATATTGTATTTTGAAGTACCATTTGAACCCTACCATCAAGAGTACAGGGAGCACAGGGTGTGCAGCTGGAGACTGCTCTGCATGGGTGTCTGTCACCGCGAAATTCCGCGATTACAGCGTAATAATATAGTTGGTGCAGATTAGCGGTGGGAAGTGGCGTATTGCGTACAACTGAGCTGCAGTTGTGCACGAAGAGACCTGCTTGAATCCTGCTTTCACAAACTAAATCACTAAAATGATGCAATCCCGGAAGTTCGCCGTTCCAGAAACCCACCAGAGCTGCTGCACACTCTGGGCTTCTGGACCTCTACCCCAGCTCTGCTCTGCTCTGCCCTCGTTACTGCAATTCCGGGGTTTCAAAGTTATTTTATAACGAGTATTATCTTCTATCCGGATTGGCATAATCGTAGACCGCTAGTTTCAGCGGGTACAATTTTTAGCATTTTTTGAATTTGGACCAATTCGCGATGAAATATTGTAGTGATCCGAGTTTCAGAGTTTAAAAAGAAGGATGACTAGTTGCAAGAGGAGATAAAAAAGAGTGTGCAACGCCGGGGTGGGTTGGCCCGCGGCGGAATTTTTTGTTGACGTAATCTTTCCGACGACGCACGCGCTTTGGAAAGTTTTGCCTCGTGCACTTGGCCGGGCTTTACATTACAAGGCCGGTGCCCAGCACGCGCTCTCACGCTGCTCTGTGGCAAAATGCGCGTTCTTCTGAAAAAAAGGTGACGTCAACAAAAAATTCCGCCGCGGGCGGGGTATCTGCAGATTGTGCAGAAGAGATCCGGAGTTGCACACTCTTGTTTACCTACTCTTGATAGTATTGTACTGTACATGCAGAATTTTGATTGGCGCGGCAAAACTTTACGAAAACACTCCTCTCGATGAAGTCACTAAAACTAACCGTTTAACAGTATCACATTTCAGGCGTCAGGGGATTTTGGTTTGCTGTCTAATGGTGAGGCTTATCTTGTAACTAATGTCGCACTAACGAGGGCGGCGTCCAGGGAGCTATGAAGCCGAGACCTCCGGTCGGTTGAGCTTAATGGGCTCCACCACCACACTCCATTATTCACCCCAGTGTCTGGAGATATGTGAATTTGTAGAGAGAAAGAAAGAAAGAAAAAAGAGACTCGTACCATTCAGGTAGAGGCAGTTAACAGGACAACACCACACCCCTACCTTGAGTGCCAGCTTCAAACCGTCCATTGTTTTCTCCATGGAGCGCGGCGTCTTGCCTTCTTGAGACAGATATGCAACCATGATAACGAAAACTGCCAGGAGACAGATCATGACTGACGCTACGATTGCAGCGGCTTTATGACCATCCTCGAAGAAGTCCTGCGACGCGTCGTAGAAAAATTTCTGTGAACGGACAAAGAGACACGAATATGTGTGTCAGTTTGTCAACTATTAACAGAAACACAATCAATCCACAACCCCCGGGCAGCAATTTATTTTGACAGAAACGTTTCTCTCCCAAACTCATCATTGTTTACTTTTGGAAGATGATAATATGAGAGAATAAACGAGATGGCTCAGTATAGCAGAAAACATAGCTTCTCCAACAATGTCTGCTCCAGAGCCGGGCCAACCGGGGGAGACACCTAGTAGTGGAGGGGGGGGGGGGGTACTAGGACCAGTTTCGAAAAGAACATCGGGTCACTTGTGACCCGGTTGAGAATACAATATCATGTGTCAGAGAGTCCTAAAAGACTTAAAACTCCCTGACGTACATGCAGAAGCCGCACTTGAACGAAACCGGCTCTGACCCGGTTGCAAGGGTTGTGCCAGGTGCACGTGTACCCGGTTTGTTCGAAAACCGCGAGTCACACTGTGCAGGTGTCGAAAGCAGAAGCAATGCGGACGCCGGCAACATGGTGCCAACAACAGTACTCTAAGTGAACCAATAGTCGGCGCATGTTCGTTTTCGGCTGTTTTCGGCCTGGTCCGAATTGGCCCAAAATTAGCCGCGGCCGAAATTTAGCTTTGCAAGGCTCAGCGTGCCGGTGTAAACAGTAAGCATCAGTGCAGGCTGAATATTTAATGTGGTCGAAATGTGTTTTAGCCCCGGGAGGTCGAAATTTGAATGGGCCGAAAATTCATAAACTTACGGTACGTGGCTGAGGGAAAACACCCAGAACACTCGGGTAGATTCACAGAACAATAAGAGACGGGAGAGGGGGCACATGACACAATAAGAGATGAGAGAGGGGTCACATGACACAATAAGAGACGGGAGAGGGGGCACATGACACAATAAAAGACGAGAGAGGGGTCACATGACACAATAAGAGACGAGAGAGGGGTCACATGACACAATAAGAGACGAGAGAGGGGGCACATGACACAATAAGAGACGAGAGAGGGGTCACATGACACAATACGAGACGAGAGAGGGGTCACATGACACAATAAGAGACGAGAGAGTGGGCACATGACACAATAAGAGATGAGAGAGGGGTCACCTGACACAATAAGAGACGGGAGAGGGGTCGCATGACACAATAAAAGACGGGAGAGGGGGCACATGACACAATAAGAGACGAGAGAGGGGTCACATGACACAATAAGAGACGAGAGAGGGGGCACATGACACAATAAGAGACGAGAGAGGGGGCACATGACACAATAAGAGACGAGAGAGGGTCACATGACACAATACGAGACGAGAGAGGGGTCACATGACACAATACGAGACGAGAGAGGGGTCACATGACACAATAAGAGACGAGAGAGGGGGCACATGACACAATAAGAGATGAGAGAGGGGTCACATGACACAATAAGAGACGGGAGAGGGGTCACATGACACAATAAGAGACGGGAGAGGGGGCACATGACACAATAAGAGACGAGAGAGGGGTCACATGACACAATAAGAGACGAGAGAGGGGTCACATGACACAATAAGAGACGAGAGAGGGGTCACATGACACAATAAGAGACGAGAGAGGGGGCACATGACACAATAAGAGACGAGAGAGGGGGCACATGGTAAACTATGTACATGTCCTGTCGTGGACATGGAAATCCGGTCAGAGGTCAAGCGGCCCAAGGGCGCTGGCCATGCAGCCATGAGTATGCAAACGATCAATACGCGTACTGTGCATGCAACGTTCTGCACGCAATGAGAGCGCCGGCCTCACACCATTCGACCAGACTTCCATATCCACGACAGTACTTGCAGACCAATGCCACAGTTACCTGCCTGCATGGTCTCTCACGAACTGTGTTTCCTGTGTTTCCTGTACTGGATGTATGCAAGTGGGGTGTATGCAAGCGGGGTGTATGCAAGCGGGGTGTATGCAAGCGGGGTGTATGCAAGCGGGGTGTATGCAAGTGGGGTGTATGCATGATGTTGGCAATGCATACTGATGACCGGTGTTGAAACCTAACCATTGAGATAATGCCATACACCATGGATTGGTTGAATACACACACACGCACGCACGCCCGCCCGCCCGCCCGCCCGCCCCCCCCCCCCCCCCCCCCCCACCCACCCACCCACCCACCCACACACACACACACACATACACAAACGCACACACACACACACACACACACACACACACACACACACACACACACACACACACACACACACACACACACACACACACACACACACATACACAGACGCACCCCCCCCCCCCCCCCACACACACCGCTAGCACCCGCGGCCCATCCCCGTCGCAGCCCACACCACATCACTAACACTCACCTTTGTATGATGAGGTGATATCTGTACGGATGACAGAAGGCGCATGCAGGTTCCCATTATGTGACTTGCGGGCAGGTACAGCAGCAGGAGCGTGCCGTCAAAAATCTGAAAAGAATTCCCTCGATTCATCCAGCTGAAGAAAGCAAACAAGCCAGCATTTCACCAACAACAGTGTGCTGGAGCGTGTACTGCAAATACACAAAATTCCCGGTCTCCGAAAATTCGGCATTCCACGATTTCCGAAATTTCGCCAGAAATTTATTTTCGGCACGGGTACATCACCGAAGCTAGTGTGAAACATTTCATCGGCGTGTTCGTGGGTCGGTGGCAAATATAGCCGAAATTAAGTGTCTGCCGGAATTTTGTATATAAAAAGAAAGGACAAAATGTTACGAGTTATGACTATTGCCCACCAACATAACCAGATAATGTTACAGATTTTTTCCCTTTGTTTTTATCCATGATTATTTTGGCTCAACATCCGAGTTCAAATTTGGAAATTTTTATATTTACTGTACCCAATGCTGTAGACAGCAAGCTGTTGTTTCGACCACACATGCCTCATCAGTGCATCTACGACCTTTAAAAGTAAGTCCAGCTTTACTTACAGTGTGTGCTCCCAGATTGAACGGCACATTGGTGATGGAGCGGCCCAGTTCTCTTCGAGAGCTGGCTGCCAGATTGTTGACATCTGAGTGTTGAAAATCTGGTTTAGTTGGTGGACTCTACCACGTAACTTGTGCCCGACTGTTTTCAATGTTTCTATTTTTCAATTGGAATAAGAACCCCGATGGTGAGTCAAGGAAAAAAATTAACATGGAAATTGTGGGCACATGTTATGCGATCGACTCCACCAACTAAACCAGATTTTGAACAGTCAGACGTGCACAATCTAGCACAAAATTGACAAGGAGCACTGAGACATTTTTTGCTGGATTGCTAGATTGTGCACGTCTGATTGTTCAAAATCTGGTTTAGTTGGTGGACTCGATCGCATAACTTGTGCCCACAATTTCCATGTTAAATTTGAATGTACTTTATATGTGAGAAGTTGCGACTTCAGCGGTATTAGTCATGAAGTTGTTTGCTCCTACGAGGAACAAACACTTCCTGCCGAACTTGACACTTGACTGACTCACGACTGCCATCGACGTGCTCCTCGGGTTCTCCGGATGGCAGTCGCGAGTCAGTCAAGTGTCAAGTTCGGCAGGAAGCTTGTGTTCATCGTTGGGGCAAGCATGTACTTTTTAATAATTTTACACTTTGCACACGACACAGAGCATCATGCATCATTGGTTGTAACTTAGAGTTTCATGCCCATAGTTGTCGGATGATTGCCTATGGGCTTGAAACCTTTAAAGTTACAACGAATAATGCGTGGTGCTCTGTGTCGTGTGTAAGATAGCTCTACCGAGCCAAAGGACTCTCATTGGTATATTTTATACTTAATAAGGAGGCGCGGATTATTTAACTCACCATTTTCTGATAAAGAAATGCAATGGGAAGAGCAGGAAGAAGATCAACGCCGGAGTGAGGAATCGCCACGCTATGCTATCGGCCATTGAATCAGATCTGACGAAGCATTTGCCCGGCCAGTCCAGATTTGCAACGGCCCAGAGCGGCTGAATCATCTTGGAGAAGGGGTCGCAGTTCTCCGTACACTGCAGGAACATGGCACAAAGCAAGGTACAGTAAAAAAGGCGAGCACTCAGATAAGGCGACCATCCGTCCTAAAAGACAACTGAAACCAGGACCAAGGGATGCTAATTCCAGTCAAATGGCTCTGGATACGGAAACCCGACCTGGTAGCAGAGACCACGTTTTGATTGTTCCTAGATCGGTCGTGTTGTACAGGTTTTGCTGTAACTATCTGCCAGTGTGTGTGCACTAATCACCTGACACCTGTGCTAGTGGCTGTGGACTTCGCTTCAACTCCACCACATGTGCTCTCTTGTCGGGCCCACACTCACACCAGCAACACGACTGCAAGTTGTTGTAGATGCAGTGGAACCTGTCTAAGACGACCGCTGATGGGACCTTCAAAATGGGGTCTCTGTTTTTTTTGTTTTTGTTTTTAATTTATTGATTTTTTACTAAGGCCACAGCTTCCAATCATGGCATGCAAAGCAGCGGTGCAGCATCGCAGGCATGAATCGTGGGTTACCAGGTGGTCTCCTTATACGGGGTCATTTGACTGGAAATAGCATCCCTTGCTCCGGGTTTCAGTGGTCTTCTAGGACAGGTGGTCGCCTTATCAGAGTGGTTGCCTTGGTATACAGTACCCAATACCTGCTCACACAGTGCTCAAGGCCTGCTCACACAGTGCTCAATACCTGCTCACACAGTGCTCAATGCCTGCTCACACAGTGCTCAATACCTGCTCACACAGTGCTCAATACCTGCTCACACAGTGCTCAATACCTGCTCACACAGTGCTCAATGCCTGCTCACACAGTGCTCAATACCTGCTCACACAGTGCTCAATGCCTGCTCACACAGTGCTCAATGCCTGCTCACACAGTGCTCAATGCCTGCTCACACAGTGCTCAATACCTGTTCAAACAGTGCTGAATACCCAGCGCTCAGTTCCTGCTCAAACAGCTGCGTATATCCAAGGTCACATGACTGGCAAGGACTCCCAGGATTCCCGAAGTAGTGCTTTATATCCCAAGCAAAGAGGAAGGTGTGCTACATCCAGGTTACTGTAAATCAGCAAATATTCGGCGCATACTGTAATTTCACAAATTTTTGGGGTACTTTCATTTTCGGTACTTTCGGTGCATCTGTTTCATACCTAAAATTTCAATACGCCGAACAAACACTAACACACATAATCCAATAGGGAACTGTTTCTCTGTACCTAAATTTTCTGTTCACCTAACCTGGCCTTTTGCCCTCATACCGAAATTACTTGAGCACCGAAAATTTCTGAAATTAGAGTATTTTTTTTCAGCCATTCTCGGCATACACATGTACAAGTAGCAGCAGTACATGCCTAAAGTTTAATACGGCCAAAATGTGTTTCAGCCCATGGAAGGCCGAAATTTAAATGCGCCCAAAATGTGTAGACTCATGCAGTACAAATGTTAGCATTGGAGTTCAGTTCTACATTGACAACAGTAAGAGCCCTCCCCCCCCCCCCCCCTCATTCCATCCGAGTCCATTCTGAGCAATATTCCAAGAAATTTCTCAAAAAGTTCAAGCCAGATCTGAATTACCCGGAAAAAGTCTAGAGGTCTATACAATGTACTTTTAGTCTTTTAAGCACACTACTGTCTAGATATGGCTTACCGTGATCTCGTCGAGAAACTTGTCACTCTCACTGATGAGCAGGTAGACAACACTCTGGTAGAAGCAGAGACCCTTGATGTCATTAGCCAGCGGGATGTTCAATGTCAGAACAAGAAGTTCCAAGCCTGCACAGTGACGGGTACATAGTGTTCAATATCAGAACAAGAAGTTCCAAGCCTGCACAGTGACGGGTACATGGGGTTCAATATCAGAACAAGAAACTCCAAGCCTGCACAGTGACGGGTACATAGTGTTCAGTATCAGAACAAGAAGCTCCAAGCCTGCACAGTGACGGGTACATAGTGTTCAATATCAGAACAAGAAGTTCCAAGCCTGCACAGTGACGGGTACATGGGGTTCAATATCAGAACAAGAAACTCCAAGCCTGCACAGTGACGGGTACATAGTGTTCAATATCAGAACAAGAAGTTCCAAGCCTGCACAGTGACGGGTACATAGTGTTCAATATCAGAACAAGAAGCTCCAAGCCTGCACAGTGATGGGTACATAGTGTTCAATATCAGAACAAGAAGTTCCAAGCCTGCACAGTGACGGGTACATAGTGTTCAATATCAGAACAAGAAGCTCCAAGCCTGCACAGTGATGCGTACACAGCGGGTGCGTGGGATTACTGCCATGAATTGAGTCATTCATGAAATCTCGTCGCTCGATTTCATGTCATGAACTTCTTGAACAAAGTTATAACTCAGGGTTTGCTACTCCGGTCGTTCATCAGGAAACTGCCACGCTGGTAGTATGGACACGGACAAGAAAGGGGGGAGGAGAGTGTGTGGGGGAAGGGGGGGGAGAGGGGAGTATGTGGGGGAGGGGGGGGAGAGGGAGGGAGAGAGGAGTGGGGGGGGGGGGGAAGGGGAGGGGAGAAAGGAGAGGAGGGGAGGGGAGGGGAGGGGGAGGAACTAACACACCTGGTTTGGTATGGATTATAAAGTGCGCATGCCAGTGAATAAAGTGTGATAAAAGCTAATATTTGCAAGAACATTGAGCGTGACATTCGTCTACACTCTACGTGAACTCACAGATGAAGATCACCACGGCTATTGCTAGTGCTGCCTTCCAGTCCAAGCAGTCGTCTTTCTTAACACATGCAGCCGTGAACGAGCCCATGACGCTCAAGACCTCTTTTTCGCCCTCGATTGGCAAGCACTGAGAGCACAGGATGCCTTTGCGCTTGTTACATTGGGACTTGATGGCATCGGCCTCGGTGTTCAGAGAACACGCTGTACATCGGAGAACAAAACACGAGTGAACACGGAGAAGATCAGGCATCGGTGGCTAAAGTGAAAATATCAAAGCACAAAACATGTTCTTTTCTCCTTTTCTCTCTACTGTTGCGTCAGGCGAAATTACTGGTCAGTCGGCGACACGCATTTTTCACAAAAAATTGCGTTTCACCTGCTGGGAGAGTATGCGTGTACTCGAGTCTCATCCTGAGCACATTTTTTTTCTTCTTTTTCAGCTCCAGTATAGTTGTATTTTTCATTGCAAAGCCGTCCTCTTTCGTTGTTCAAACGAAGTGGACATTCAATCATGAAGGCAGAGGACATAGGAGCCTGATTGGAGTTTCTTGTAGCATAGGACGGCCACACAGAGACACTTTGGGATTTTCTGAATATAAAAATACCGTACGCACGATGCTGAGATCAATTTGTGCGATATCAAAATTGTTTGTGATCTACCACATCGAGCAGAACGGGATCCAAACACAAGCTTACCGACGGTTAGGCTGCCGACCTGACTGGACAAATGATCCCTGGCTTCACCAGACGCCAGAAGTCGGACACCATGTCCTTTGCCGCGATGTCCATCCCCAAAAAGAACTCCATCTTCGTCGTGAAAAGGCTTGAAATACTCAATATTCAACCGAGATTCGCGGTCTCACCCTTTCTCAGATCGAATCATTTTGTTGTTGTAGCAGTTGCAGGGCAGATCCCCGCCACTACTTCAACAGAAGATGGCTCCAAAGCATGCCTGGAACAAGCCATATCGAGGTTGCAAGCCACCCCTCTCAGCACTTTTTTTGAAGAAATTCGAAATTTCAATGGTGGAAGATATACTATGAAGAGAATTTCAAAAAGTATGTTTCGCGGAGCGATCGCTCAACCTACGTCATTCAAACTTTGCAGGATGGTTCAGACGTACATGCTAGGCATGGAACCACAGAAGATGATATCATAGCTGACACACAGAGTCACACACACAGCAGATTCGTGTGCACAGATACTAAATTAGTGGACGTCGTCATCTTCTTCCCGCCGATCTCAAATGTACTATGACGTGCTATTTCGCCTGACGTAAAACCCGGAATTTCCGGTAGTGTACCATTTACCGTATTTCCCCAAATCAACGGTTCGGTAGCGCGAACATTTCGGTAAACCGGTTTTCCAGGTCCAAAAAATGCATTTTGTACACTGTGTGGCAAGGCATGGCATGGTTGAATTTTAGGTCACTTTTTTATTTTAGGTACAAATTACCTGTACCGAAGTTGCCGAAAATAAATTGCCACCGATATTTTCCGGTTACACAGTGTTCTCCCGTTGCCTTTCCTAGTCCCTTAGTGTCCCACACCCCATCCCGGCACATCCACCCCAAGGTGCATCTGGCGAACTACGACGCCAAGATCTCCCAGGTCGGCTGAGCTACGACGCCGAGACCTCCCAGGTCGGCTGAGCTACGACGCCGAGACCTCCCAGGTCGGCTGAGCTTCACAGGTCCCACGCACTCTCTATCTACTGGATATGTGTTCTTAAACGCTGCTTCTAATTGTCCATCATGCAAAGAGTGTTCCTTTGTAAAAACAAAAAACAAACACACAAAAAGGCGGCGACGACACAAGAAACCTCCTATCGGTAGAATTATATTGAATTCCAGATTTCTGATGATAGTCACATAAAAACGAAGTTGAAATCCCTATGTAATTGTTCCCCTGCTGTCGTGGTATGAATTCATTCACTATATTTCTAACAGCACCCAAGGAAAATGAATGGAAACAAGGAAAACGGTGGGCACAAGTTCTTCATTAGAGTCCACCAACTAGACCAGCTTTTAAACGGTCTGACTGTTCAAAAATCTGGTCTTGTTGCTGGACTCTACGCATAACTTATGACCTACCGATTACCTTGTTTCCATTATTTCCATTGATGGTAAAAAGAAAACAATACGGAACTTACTAGCATTCGGGCAGCTGCAGAAACTTGGCGGACATATGGTCTTGTACCAGTCATGTGTTGTGTTGTCATAATCTGCAGTCACATGAGCAATGCTTTTTCAACATCACTAATAAAAGAATTTTCATCCAGTGCATGCGCCAAGATTGAATAGCAACTAAATAGAGCGATTGTCAGTTTGCAAACCACATTTTATTTACAATGCAGTTACGTGATGTCCACCACTTTCTGAACGAACATGAGCATCGTTGATATATCTATAGGGAAGCAGAAGCTTTCGGCCTGTTTATCTCATACTGCAAATATACAAAACTTCGGCACTTCACGATTTTTGACATTTCGGCGGCGATTTATTTTCGGCGTGGGGTAGAGGGCATGGTATAGTGCGACAGATGCTGTGAAAAATTTCATCGGCGTTTTAATTTAGGCGTTTTGGGTCGGTGCCGAATATAGCCGAAATTAAATAGCTGCCGAAAATTTGTATATTTACAGTACTCTAATTTCAGAACTTTTCGGTGCTCAATATTTTCCATATGAGGGCAAAAGGCCAGGTTGCGTGAACACAAAATTTAGGTACAGAGAAACAGTTCCCTATTGGATTATGTGTGTTAGTGTTTGTTCGGTGTATTGAAATTTTAGGTATGAAACAGACGCACCGAAAGTGCCGAAAATAAAAGTACGCCGAAAATTTGTGAAATTACAGTAAGTAGTGTGAAGCAATTCCACCACCACCGCATGCGCTCTCTCTCTCTCTCTCTCACACACCTCACATTCGCAACAGCAAACCCACAGCGCAGGGTCGGGTGTGGACAGCCACATTGCAAGACAAAACGAAGGTGTCAACCTGCACTGCGTGCCACAACAACAAAAAATACAGGTAAACATAAAAAAAGGCATCGCAGGTATTCGTAGTTCGAGAGAACATTGCTTCTCAGTTCCTTGGAATACTCAGCCAACGAGTAGCGTACACGCTCTCTGGCCAACCTAAATCACACCAGTAACATAACTCCATGTGGTAGATACTTACAAAATTGGGGGGGGGGGGACTAAAAAAATTTCATGTGAAATCATATACACCATACGTGTAATATTATTATTACTTGCCCATCCACTACTCGCTGTACAGTGGCGGATCCAGGAGGGGTTCCAGGGGTTCTGTGGAACCCCTTAATATATTTTACAACTGGAAACCATGCGCATGTGCATGTACAATGTACACTAAAACCTGTAACTAACGACCACCCTGTGGGTCCTGATAAAGCGGTGTTACGAAACTACAACTAGACTTGTCTGCTCCTGCGGTTCACGAACCCCACACGGCACTCACTGGCCCGCACGACACGCAGCCAGAACAACACAACCGTCTTCTTCTGGGTCTAGAAAAGTTCTAAAGGAATAAATCCATGGAGCTATGTGAAAAATACTAAGTGAAAACACCAACGACCCGGGTCGGCGCAAACACGCATGCCCGACGACCCAGGGTCGGTGCAGGTACGTATACTACAAGACTTGCACGCGTTCCAGAGTGCAGCTGCAAGTGCAGTGCAGCACCGGAAGTCAACCAAAGCAGTGTACAATAATACACAGTGGCGGAACGTGGCGCGCTGCAGAGCGGGCAGCAGGAAGTCATGCAATCAAAGCAGTGTACAGTGGCGGAACGTGCCGCGCTGCAGAGCGGGCAGGAAGTCATGCAACCAAGTAGAGGATATAAGTCCAGTGTAGTGCAACTACCGTACAATAAATTACAATGGGTTTGTCCAAACAGAGTGGAAGACTACAAGACAACACGCACGCATATGCATCACGCATACACAAGTGGGAGAGAGACAGAGAGGGAGAGAGACAGAGAGGGAGAGAGAGAGACAAAGAGGGAGAGAGAGAGACCTTACTTCTCTAACACCGGTCTTTAGTGGCAGGTGGTCTTTAGTGGCAGATGGTCTTTAGTGGCAGGTGGTCTTTAGCTAGATGCTTGCACCGCACAACCGTATAATGAATATGAGACCGTCCGTGCCTGGCGAAGTGGTCTGTAGTACCAGGCTGGTCGCTAGTCACAGTGGTCTGTAGTACCAGGCTGGTCGCTAGTCACGGTGGTCTGTAGTAGCAGGCTGGTCTCTAGTCACGGTGGTCTGTAGTACCAGACTGGTCGCTAGTCACGGTGGTCTGTAGTACCAGGCTGGTTGCTAGTCACGGTGGTCTGTAGTACCAGGCTGGTCGCTAGTCACGGTGGTCTGTAGTACCAGGCTGGTCGCTAGTCACAGTGGTCTGTAGTACCAGGCTGGTCACTAGTCACGGTGGTCTGTAGTAGCAGGCTGGTCGCTAGTCACAGTGGTCTGTAGTACCAGGCTGGTCGCTAGTCACGGGGGTCTGTAGTACCAGGCTGGTCGCTAGTCACGGTGGTCTGTAGTACCAGGCTGGTCGCTAGTCACGGTGGTCTGTAGTACCAGGCTGGTCGCTAGTTACGGTGGTCTGTAGTACCAGGCTGGTCGCTAGTCACGGTGGTCGTCTGTAGTACCAGGCTGGTCGCTAGTCACGGTGGTCTGTAGTAGCAGGCTGGTCGCTAGTCACAGTGGTCTGTAGTAGCAGGCTGGTCGCTAGTCACGGTGGTCTGTAGTAACAGGCTGGTCGCTAGTCACGGTGGTCTGTAGTACCAGGCTGGTCGCTAGTCACGGTGGTCTGTAGTACCAGGCTGGTCGCTAGTCACGGTGGTCTGTAGTACCAGGCTGGTCGCTAGTCACGGTGGTCTGTAGTACCAGGCTGGTCGCTAGTCACGGTGGTCTGTAGTACCAGGCTGGTCGCTAGTCACGGTGGTCTGTAGTACCAGGCTGGTCGCTAGTCACGGTGGTCTGTAGTACCAGGCTGGTCGCTAGTCACGGTGGTCTGTAGTAGCAGGCCGGTCGCTAGTCACGGTGGTCTGTTGTACCAGGGTAGTCGCTAGTCACGGTGGTCTGTAGTACCAGGCTGGTCGCTAGTCACGGTGGTCTGTAGTACCAGGCTGGTCGCTAGTCACGGTGGTCTGTAGTACCAGGCTGGTCGCTAGTCACGGTGGTCTGTAGTATCAGGTTTTATTGTATCAGCTCTTCAGGTTTGACTAAACTGGAACCTCCCCCCCCCCTGTAGAGATCGCTGGCCAAGGAAATGCAACCTGATGAATACAATAGCGTCGGGTTCGAGTGCACAGAACAGTGCTTCCAGTACTAGGGCTGCATAGCAACCCGGTGATATCTTATTCAGGAGGTTGGATTTACGTTTTGGCCAGCACCGTACTTGGAACACTCATTATCAGGCCCCCCCCCCCCGGAGCCAGCTGCGGAGGGTAGGTACAGTCCCAGGTCGGCTGCAAGGCCGGGGTTATTTCACCCAGCCAACGGAGGATGCATTTTTAGCTCTGTGCGGCATTGCATCTGCTCGCTTCAGCTTCAGATAATGCCAGCAAAAGATACATGGCATCCAGGTAGCACAGCAGTCTACACAGGACACAAGAAACAGTTTAGGACGGAGAGCACTGCTCAATGAAATCCAGCACAGTGCTGCTCTATACAATCCAGTCGCGTGCTGCTCAAGTACACGCCGGGCGTTGCGCAGACCTACACCTGTGAGCACTGGGCCGCGAAGTGAACTTGAACTGAATTTCATTGAGCAATACTCTACTGCGACATCCAATTGACCATCCACTGGACAATCTGTAAAAGCAGGAATTGGTCAAATTGGTTCGGCTATGGCCGCACTAGCCGTACAAGTGGCGCCGGCCCTGGTCATGAACTGAAGACGGAGAATAACAAGTGTAACATTTTCTTTGTACTTACAAATGAAATAGCCGTGGGCGACCCGAATGTCGTTTGTGTCCGAGCAGCCTCGAATAACGCCACCGTCTGTGTCACACGTGCACACAGACTGCACCTTGCCTCCTACACGTGCACACGCATGCACATGAACACAGACGCATGCACGAGCATGCACACACACACACACACACACACACACACACACAGACATATGCATGAACAAACGCGCAGAAGTCCTTTCCCAAGCCTACCAATTAGTAGCCTTCGTTTGCACCAAGCCTTTGGGATCAGCACTACAGCCATTTGCTTAAATGGCGACACGTTTAGCAAGGAAACGAGTAACGGTACGGTTCGCACATCCGCGTTACAAGCGGCTTACAATCGTGTGGAGAAACACAGCCAGCTGAGAGAAGATCCGCTCGTTGGCGCCAGGCCACCCACCAGGCCGCCATTCTGGTGACCACACAGCATATTCCCGCTCCTAAGTAACTGTTCCACTACATCTACATACAATTTCAAAACGATATCCAATACATGTACAGTGGACATTGTACATGTGGAAATCACACCAGCATTAACCAAATTCACTTTACGTAGTCAAGTGGTGTGCTTCACTGTCCGAAACACAAGAGAGAGTTTGGAGAGAATGCTTCCAAACTCTCTCTTGTGTACATTCACTTTACGATATTTTTAATATTTCGAAGGCAGTTTTGGGAACTTTTATCTTCACTCATGACTCTGACAGCCATTCATGATCTATTTGACCCATATTTCGTGTCTCTTGAGCTATAAAATAGGCAATTTTACACGTATGTTGTTATGGCAACCATGTCGATTTGGGTAGAATAGGTCATAACTTTTTGAACAGACAACTTTGGCACATTCTGGTTTTCAGGGATCAGTTATTGCTTGATATGCCATTCCAAATCCGTCCAAAAAATCCTTGCTTGACCGGGTGTTACACAGGTCAGTTCTGATGACCCACTGGCTCCTAGACTATTATGCCTAATCATGCCAGGCCACACTGGTAGAAACAGGTATGGTGCTGGCCAGCCACGAGTGGGACCAGGAAGTCATAATGGCAAATCTACCTTTTTCTTTCTTCTTCAGTTTATATCCTGGGCGGCACTTGTCAATGTAGACATTAAGCTGTGCCGTGACGTAATGTGTGGCACCCACCACTTGAACCGTGACAGTGGTGCCTTCCTTTGGCGGTTCCTGTATCCATGCATGGACCAAGACGAGGCACACACACACACACACACACACACACACACACACACACACACACACACACACACACACACACACACACACACACACACACACACACACACAGACGCACGCCCCCCCCCCCCCCCCCACACACACGGACGCCCGCACACACATACAAAACAAACATGCACACACACACGTACGCACACACACACACACACACACACACACACACACACACACACACACACACACACACACACACACACACAGACATGCACGCACACAGACATGCACGCACATAGACATGCACGCACACAGGATATATCTTACATGCAGCTGTATGTGGTAGTACTGGTATGTGCGCATGTGTAGGCATGCACATGTGCACATACCACTTTATGCATAGCAGGAGAGACATGCCACCCGCACTTCTGTTAGAGAACTAAAGAAGATTGATTTAGCACAATGGCTGTCTTGTGAGTGACTGAATAGTTGTCTACATGGAAGTTGTGCCAATGTCGCAGCACTGGATAGTGTCACGGACATTCCAAAGTTACGGGCAGTGCTCGGTCCCGGGCCGCCCGTACAAACGAGGAATGAGTGTAGTCACACATGCCAGACAACTGGTGTGGCTACGACTCACCGTCACATCGCCGTCAATGACAAACGCTATGTTACCAGTCTCGCTGGAGTTCCCCTTCACCGTCAGCCCCACGGTTGCCGAGGTCTCGCGCAGCGAGACGGTGCAGTCGTCCGCAGCCGACAAGGTGAGACTCTGCGCGGCTGTCGGAGCACCCGCATCTCGGGAACTTCCCTGCCAGCGGTGGGCATTGGCACTTGGACCGGGGCCAGCAGTGTCTCCCTGGTTTGCCTGATGACGGTCCACAGTCAGATAAAGCAGAGCATCTCTCTGAAATCGAAAGCAACACAAAACAAGAATTCGCTTGTAAGCAACACTGGCTCAGAGTCAATCAAATGTGCTTTTCACAACTTCATTTCATGAAAAAACTCAACGTTTCGGTCATAAAATAACCATCATCAGGAATGAAGTGGGCAAGCTGGTTAGGCTGGGTTAATAAATGAGGAGCGCTGCGAGGAGATAACAATTCACACGTTCATGTTCTGTTACGAGAGAGAGAGAAAAGAGAAATTTGTGAAAGGCAGTGGTTGCCAGTATGAGCCAGTGTTGCTCACAAGCCGACTTTACTGATGAGCGCTGCGTGATGTGTCCTACAATATTTTTTAAACACAAACAAATGCCGAACATAGAGTGTACTGTAAAACCTGTAACTAAAGACCAGCGTGACTAGCGACCAGCCTGGTACTACAGACCACCGTGAATAGCGACCAGCCTGGCACTACAGACCAGCGTGACTAGCGACCAGCCTGGTACTACAGACCACTTTACCAGGCACGGACAGTCTCGCAGTCATCTAATTATGGTTGCGCATTGCAAACCTCTAACTGTGGACCACCTGGCACTAAAGACCGCTATCTCTGGTCCCGAGGGGCGGTCGTTAGTCACGGGTTTTACTGTACGGTGGTTTGGCCATATTTTACTATGATTGACAGGGACGTCATAGGGCTGTGTGGAGTGGTACGACTGGGGGTACGGGGCTTTCCCCCGGGGAAATAAATCAGATTTTTTCGCCTGACAGGGCACGTTGTAGCATTCCACAGCCCCTCTGGGCGGACCACCCTGGACGAAACGTGGTACGACCATGGCCGTACCGGTCGTACCGGGTGTGACACCCCTGAGTGATTACTACATAGAGTGTGCAGGTCAGAAAGAGGGACAGCATCAGTACAGACAACACCACCAGCAGAGGCAGCAGTAGAGCTGATGGCAGCAGCAGTAGTAGAAGCAGAAGCAGCAGAAGCATATCAAGCAACATTTGAAGCACCACTACCACCACAACGGCAACAGCAGCAACAGCAGCAACATTAGCAGCAGCAGCAACAGTAGCATCAGCAGCGACAGCAAATGAAGTAGTAGAAGAAATTATGAGAAGCAGCAGCAGCAGCAGCACCACCACCACAAGTAACAGCACCACCACCACAAGTAACAGCAACAACAGCAACAACAGCAACAGCAGCAACAGCAGTAACAGCAGTAACAGCAACAACATCAACAACAGCAACAGCAGTAACAGCAGCAACAGCAGTAACACAAACAGCGAAAGTAGCAGCAGCACTAGGTTAGCAGTAACACCCACCACAACGGAAGCAGCAGCAACAGCAGAACCAGAACAGCAGCAACAGCAATAACAGCAACAGCAGCAACAGCAGAACCAGAACAGCAGCAACAGCAATAACAGCAACAGCAGCAACAGCAGAACCAGAACAGCAGCAACAGCAATAACAGCAACAGCAGCAACAGCAGAACCAGAACAGCAGCAACAGCAATAACAGCAACAGCAGCAACAGCAGCAACAGCAGAACCAGAACAGCAGCAACAGCAATAACAGCAACAGCAGCAACAGCAGAACCAGAACAGCAGCAACAGCAATAACAGCAACAGCAGCAACAGCAGAACCAGAACAGCAGCAACAGCAATAACAGCAACAGCAGCAACAGCAGAACCAGAACAGCAGCAACAGCAGAACCAGAACAGCAGCAACAGCAATAACAGCAACAGCAGCAACAGCAGCGACAGCAGCAATAGCAACACTAGCAGCAACACAAACAGCGGACGAAGTAGCAGCAGCACTAAGTTAGCAGCAACACCCACAACAGCTGAAGCAGCAGTAGCAGCAGCAGCAGCAACAGAGAACCAGCGAAGCAACAGTAGTTTAGACTAGTCATATTTCCATCCATCATAGTCTGCGGGTAGATCCAAGAGTAAATGCTTCTGACTAGATGATGGAAACAACAACGAGAAAACCCAACGTGATCTCTACTGTAAATAGCTTTTTCTTGGTTCAGTCCACTTACAACTTGGTGAAATTGATCACATGCGTAGCCTTGGAGTTTACGTTCCAGCCCCGAGCCGCCAAAGTGGATTTCCAAGGGCTCCTCCTTAGTGTACTTCTCCCTGATGCATGCAGTCTCTGGTGTGATAGTGTCCTCACTGGTGAGGAAGAATAGCTCTGAGATGTCCGTTGCAATGACACGCTACGAGCACACAGGGTAGAGAGGGTGAGCACAGAAGAGAGATAGAGAGCACAGAAGAGAGAGAGAGAGAGAGAGAGAGAGAGAGAGAGAGAGAGAGAGAGAGAGAGAGAGAGAGAGAGAGAGAGAGAGAGAGAGAGAGAGAGAGAGAGAGAGAGAGAGAGAGAGAGAGAGAGAGCGAGAGAAAGAGAGAGAGAGAGATAGATAGATAGATGGATAGAGAGAGAAAGAGTGAAGCAAAGAAACAGATAGAGTTAGACAGACAGACAGACAGACAGACAGACAGACAGACAGACAGACAGACAGACAGACAGACAGACAGACAGACAGACAGACAGACAGACAGACAGGAGAGATAATAAGGACCTAAACTAGAAACTCTATTGCCCTAATCATAAAAAATACATTACTGTTACGCCATGGTGCAAAGAAACATCCTGGCAAATGTAGGACATAGTTCAAGAAACATCCTGGCTTATGTAGGACATAGTTCAAGAAACATCCTGGCTAATGTAGGACATAGTTCAAGAAACATCCTGGCTAATGTAGGACATAGTTCAAGAAACATCCTGGCTAATGTAGGACATAGTTCAAGAAACATCCTGGCTAATTTAGGACATAGTTCAAGAAACATCCTGGCTAATGTAGGACATAGTTCAAGATACATCCTGGCTAATGTAGGACATAGTTTCCTCTATGGTCCAGTGACTGGACCATAGAGACCATCTGAGTCTCTCGGGCACAGTGTCCGGATTAATATCAAGATTTGTCTAGCTCGAATGTCAAAATCACACACTCTTGTAATGCGGAGAAAACTGAACTTGTGAAGGCGTTGGTACCAGTGACAATGAGTGCCCCCAGTGACAATAAGTGCCCCCAGTGACAATGAGTGCCCCCAGTGACAATGAGTGCCCCCATGACCGTGTGAGAGAAAAGCACATTGTACTACTAGGACACATTAAGAGTGTATAGCAAGGGCTTTGCTCTAAGAGAAAGGAGATGAAAACATCAATGGCCTCACTCTAAGACGAAAAAAGACATGATAGCAAGGTTCTGATGGAGGAGGTTAAGACAACACCTTTCGTCCGCCAAACACCACAACGAGCCTGGAAATATTTCAAGGACTTCCCCTCCCATATCACTTCTCTTTCCATCAATTCCCACTTACTTCGGTCATGTCATTTTCGCCATTGGTCATGTTTAGAGTGGCCTCGTCCACAAGGCGCTGCGGGTTCCAACGTTGGTGGTGCCAACGCATCAGCTGGCACAGGCTGCCCCCGGGCGTAGCTTCGTTCACTGTCCAGCTGCTGTACATCGTGTAGAGTTCTGGTATGATCATGTTATTGGTGAAGATCCTCGAGTTCACGATCTGCTCACCGATGTCTTCGGGAATCCTGCTCTCCGTCTGTGCATGACGGGCATGGCACGCATGGCCATGGCCGGGAAGACAAATAGACGACCAGAAACACACACACGTACACAGACACAAACACAGAAACAAACATACACATTACTAGTTGTCTGATGATGGCCGATGGGCATGAACCTATTAGTTACCACGAACGATGCATGGTGCTCCGTGCCGCGTCTATACATATACACACATGTGCACACGCACCCGGGCACACAAGCACACACACACCTGACCTGACCTTTGACGCCCATCGCCGGAGGCAATGATAGCAATGCTACGGCAGATGCCATAGCAACTTGTGCTGGGATTGCACCAATCAACAGCTTGCAAGGCTGAAGAATTGACCGTCACTATTCAGCCTGGTCTACACCATACAGCTATTTGAAGTGACTTTTTCTGGCCAGTGAATCCCTTTTTTTGGTCTTTTCATTTTTTTCCCGCACACACATCACACCACATACACACACACGCACACACACGCACACACACACACGCGCGCGCGTGCGCGCACACACACACACACACACACGTGGCTTTCACGGTAAGCTGTCGAAACATCTACCATCCGTAGTCAGCCAAAATAGAGTCAAGAAGTAAAAAGTGAAGTTCACACATCCACGTTTTCACCGGCTTAGAGAAGTTTCGCTTGTGCCAGGCCACTACCATGTCTGATTATAGCAGGGTGGCAGATGCAGCCAAGTGAGACCCAAGATCGTACCAGCTATATATTGAGCATGGTACCATGCTGTGTACTGACTAGCCTGCCATTGCCACTCAATGGTAGCATACCGTCATGTCGCGTTTTAAAGCCGGGCTTATTCCTGTAGAAGCAGATGTCAGGGCTAGGCTTCTATTCACACCAGGCTTCAATTCAAACCAGATATTTCTATGTGTGTCAATACTAAAACCAGGCTTATGTGCCGACAGTGCATTCTTGAAAATCAGGCTTCTGTTCAAAACAGGCTTCTATACGAGATAGGCTTTATTACAAGACACCACGGTACAGTGAGAGAGTAACCGAGTATGAACGCCAGTTCTCCCTACAACATTGGAGTGACGATTCACCTAAGTAAGAAGGTGCGGCATTTTTTTCGCCGAAACGTAAGAATTGACAAAAGCGAGTTTTAACACAATTGCAGAGTGCGATGGGAAAGAGTGGGTCTGCTCTGAACTACATAAAGTATACAACAACAACAACAACAACAACAACAACAACAACAACAACAACAACAACAACAACAACAACAACAACAACAACAACAACAACAACAACAACAACAACAACAACAACAACAACAACAACAACATGAACAACAACAACAACTACTACTACTTCAAATGACTCAACTAAGGTTCGACGGTACATCACAGGAACATTTTGCGATGCAGATAATCCCAATACCGTGAACCACTCACTCTACATCCCATTCATAAAAAGATGAGTTTCTATTACTCAAGTAACTTTCTAGCTTTTGGTCCTAAATGGGCTGAATTTTGAGTGTCTAAAAATAACTATCTTGCCATTTTCTTTGGGATTCTTTCCCACTCAAATTCCGCGGCACTGCAGCGTGTACGAATGAATAGCCAACATTCCAATATGGAAGCTGACCAGAGTCAGAATTTATCTTTTCATGACCCGACTGTACTACAGTACAGTACAGTACAGTAAATGCTTTTTCCACTCAAATGACCCTGGATAAGGAGACCACCTGGTAACAGGGACCACGTTTTGAAGGTCCTTTGAGCGGTCGTCTTAGACAGGTTCCGTTGTACTCACAATGGGCCAGCAGGCCATGACATCGTTGACATACACAGCGGAGCCAGCGATGCCCGCCCGGTTGTCAGTGAAGTCGCTCCAGTCGGAAAACAGCTGGAACATGTCGAAGCGCGACGTCAGATCCGGTGGCTGCAGGAAGCAGTCGAGTGAATTCTGGGTCAGCATGCTCTGTGGCGATCTGCAACAAAAATCAGGTAAAATCAGAGAGATATTTTTGCACGGTGCTCATTTTCCGAGTTAGTTGTACAAATGTCTTTGCTTTGCTTTTCTCATTGTTACGAAATAGAGGTTGCGACTTCGGCAATGATTTTGTTTAGGAATAGGTTTGCTCCCACACTGGAGCCCGCGCTATTCCGTCGACGACTTGACACTCGACTGACTCACGACTGCCATCCAGAGAACACGAGAAGTCCATCGAACCTTCGACTCGGCAAACCTGCAAGAAAGCACCACTCCCTGCTCAATACACAGTGTTTCGGGGAATTCACCCCTCGTCAGTTGAGCTTGAGTAGGCTGAGGAAGATTGTGTCTGAAGAGCACCACTTATATAGTGCTCTCCAGGCACAAACAGCTTATACTCCGGAAAATGCGGTAGGAGAAGTGTACCCGGACTGCAGACATCACTCAGCACCATAGCACTACATAGTGGTATAGTTTGTAGGATTCTGTGATGTGCTTCAGCATAGACTCCTTGACCTGGTCTCTGGCCACGCTGGTCACAGCGTCCTGAGGGCCGCCTCTTCCAATGCACTGCACACCTCATCATAAGATGATACCGAGGGCATCACACATGCAACTCCACAATCCATGATTCAGGGATTTTAAAGGGGCGCTCCGGGAAATTTTTCGGTAGTGTGTTCTCTTCAAAGGGGCCTTATATTGGCTCCAAGGAATGGGGAATCGCGAAAACTAGACCAAAAAAGTCGATATATGAAGCCAGGAAGGGCCAAGTTTGTCTCTTGTGCGGAGGGTTTTGATGACTTCCCGTGTGATTTGTATTCAAATTCCCTGCTGGTGATGAAAGAACGATGTTTGGTCGACATTCCCAAGCTTCACAACTGCGGCCACACTCCAAGGGACCTGAAGGACCTCCTCATGTGCCCCTGGTAGAAGCGCAGCGTGATGAGGGCCTGGAGATTGGAGCAGACAACTTCACTGGCCGACAAGGAAGAAACGGTTAGTGTTCCTGCCAGAAATGTGGAGTGATGCAGAGGGCAGTCATTTGCCTTTGCTGTCGAGAGAGTGATGGAGCTGTTAGCATTGACAGCGCTTTGACATGCGTTACGCATCACCCCGACTTCCCGTCAGCTTGTCTAAACACTTACCAGCTCCTCGTCCGATCTCTCCTCCTGCTCGCGTCTTCGCTTGAGGTAAAGTGATTCCTTTAGAGGTGTTGTTCTTGGTGAGGAACTAGACTTTGCAGACACGCCTGAACTCGAAAATAACGTTGGCACTGCACCCTCCACGTGACGAGGTTACGATGTCGCTTTTTGCCTGACTGGCTGCTCATCGCTCCGCTAGCCATAAATTCGCTCATTAGATCGCGCTGAAAGCAGGTCGGTTCAAAGTGGGCTGAACACAAGCGATCCCACTTTATTGGCTCAAAGAGCTTGTGCGTTTTCCCGCCCGCGACTCGAGCTGCTCTATCCATGATTTTGACCCACGAGAGACGCAACTCAGCGTCTTGGGGAAACGTAAACCACGTCAAATTTGTGCTCGCCTCATCCTTCGAATCAGTTGAACAGCCGGGAGCACAGGACCTCCGCATGACAGACAGGAAATCTGAAGCTGGCACATCGACGACATGAAAGAAACAAATTTGACAACTACCCTGGAACGCTTCATCTCGACAGTTTCACCAGTGTTCCCATTCGAGCTCCGGGAGCGCATTGAGCTCCTAGTCACACGTGACATCATCAAAACCCTCCGTGGAGGAGACAAACATGGCCCTCATTGGCTTCATATATCGACTTTTTGGGTCTAGTTTTTGCGATTCCCCATTCCTTGGGGGCCACACGAAGCCCCCATGAAGAGAACACACTACCGAAAAATTCCCGGAGTGCTCCTTTAAAAGTGGTCCTTCTTGTATCCACTCCTCCCCCCCCCCCCCGACATATCTCCCACTATTG